CCCCAACTCCTCTCGGCCACCCCCACCTGGCCCCCCGGCCCCGCCCATCACGGGGACTTGTGCCAGGATCAGGGCCATTTAGTAGGGAAGAGGGTCCGTCACCCCACCCCACGCTGTCCCAGGGACAAGCAGCTAAGCGCCCCCGGCCCTCTGGGACAAGCAGCATCTGAATGCCGGGGGCAGGGAGCCCACCCCCATCGTCACCCACAGCCCGGCACCCTGCCACCTACCACCAGCATCTGCCTGCAGGCCGCCCTGGACCTTGACCCCGGCAGGCCATAGTCCACTCCCGGGCTTCTTAACAGCCTGCGCAGGGCAGCCCCGGGCTGGGCCCCACCTGGCCGGCCACACCTGTCTGTCTAGGGAACAGTCACCCCCGCCCCTGGGGCCAGAGTGCAGCCCTGAGGACGGCCTGACCTAGACGGACGGACCACCCCCCCCACCCGGCCCCCCGCCTGATGTGGAGCCACCACCTGCTGTAGCCGGCACCGCCCACCCTGGGACCCAGAGCCCGTGGGGACCGGCGTGGGACTGGGAGCCAAGCGGCCTGCGTCCCTCGCTGGCCCGGTGCCGCGTGACCGGGGACCCCCCTTTCTCTCGGCCTCAACTCTCTCAGCTGCCAGAGGGAGGCTGGGGGGCCCTCTGCTGCGTCCCTACCAGCCGGTCCCGGTCTGTGCCCAGAAAGGACGGAACCCGGGGGAGGTGAGGGCTGGTGCCCGTGGCGACTCCCCTCCCCCAGGCACCTCCGGGAAGTCGCGGGTCCCCTCCTGCCCCCGGGGTCTGGCCCTGGCCCCAGCGCATTACCTGCAGGTGTCACCCGGAGGCCGGCCGGACTGTGCTGGCGCAGCGGGCAATCAGGTAGGACAGTGCCAGCGTCGCGGCCTAGCCCCTTCCCCTCGTCCCGCTCCAGGACGGGGAGCCCGCTGTGCAGGCAGACCCACCCCTGAGGGGCGCTGGCACCCCTCTGTCCCCACACCATGGTCCCTGGGGTGAAGGGGGCCGGAGAGGAGGGCTGGTGGCCGTCCAGGGCCTTGCTCCACAGTGAACGGGAGGGGCTGCCTTACACAATGCCCACCAGCCCCACCCCTGGGCCCCGCCCCAGCCCATCCCCCAAACCTCCGGGCTCTGGCCCCAGGCCCAGGGTCCTCCGGGAAATCACAGCAGTGTGGCCTGGCCCAGCCGCCCCGCACCCGAGTGCCTGCAGGCCAGGGGAGCCAACCCGTTCTCAGCCTGCTGCTGGGGCACCCAGTTCCCCAGCTGACCGGCCGGGGCCCCTCAGGGTTCTGGGAGGATGGCCGAGCCTTCAAATGCGGGCTTGGAAAAGGCCAGTGCTCACCCGGCAGGTGCCAGCTCCCCCTGCCTCTCTGTGCAGTGATACGGGGGTGCTGCTCCTCTAATGCCTGGGGTGCCGTGCCAGGCCACCAGCCGGCTCCCCCTCCCGACCCCGCCAGGCCAGGAATCTGACCTCCAGCCCAGGGCAGGGCTGGCCGCGGGCCCACGGGGATGGCCACAGCCAGCGCTAT